CTGCAGGGCCTCAGGCTGAGATTGAACTTGTATAGAGTTTCAAGTTTGCTTTTCTTTTCTTTTTTAACCATGTTGCTTTGTCATGGCTCAACAGAGACACCAAAAAACTCTGACTCGTTTCTCATCTTAATTTACAAAGACATCATCATGTTATTGCAGGTGTATCAGATCAGATGCACTAACTTTTCCATGGCAGCCCGGAAGGCCTCGGAGCCGGGGGACTGCCTATAGACCGGCTGGCCCTGGGGATCCATGACGGACACCTCACTGAGAGCACAGTCCTTGGTGTGCATGATTAATCTGCACGCCATAGGGACTTCGATCTCTACCTAAAGATATGTGACAGCAGACACAGGGTCAATGGAGAGACAGGGAGGGAGCTCAGATAAGAACATTCTGTTATGGAGTGAACTGACAAAGTGGGACACAGACAGTCACGTACCTGACAAGAGACCTTAGGGCCATTCCTCAGGTTGGCAGTGCCCATCACACCATTTCTGCTCTCTGTGGTGTACTGGTACACATATTTCTTATGGGCCTTGAATCTGGATGCCACTGCAATAAGATGATGGTATCATTTGGTAATGTTGACTCTCTAAGATCTTTGTCATGTACAAAGTGCTGAGCAAATTATTTCAACAAAACACTGCCTTTAAAGATGAGGTCATGTTCCTACATAAAACCTATAGGATCGTTCTGTTCCTCCTGAATCATAAGTAAACTGTCAAGGTTCCACAGCATTACTTGGCAGCAGACCTTCCGGCCTAGAGGTAGCAAAATGATATTCCTAGCAGTGAACAGCAGCTATTGTACTCATTCATAAGCAGCATGGAGATAGAGTTCATCAGCTCCTGGTCTGTCTCCAGAAAACAGGTCATGTGTTTATTAGTTTAGCACAACCACCATCGATCTGTTAAGTGGTCAATGTGTCTGTTTGCAGTAACATACCACCACTTAACCCCTTCTATCTACTATGCACATACACACTCAGCTCTTTCTAGAGGTACACACACTATCCAGTCTCTTGGAGAAACTGACAAAGTCCAGAGGAGCCTTATCAACCCATTCAAAAGTACAATATAAGCTTTTTGCATCATTCTTATTTTTACTAAAATACTACAGAATACTGATGACAAAAACAAGGATTTTAAAGCTTGTTAGCTGTTGCTGATTAAGTAGTGGACATTTAGTGTGAATGTCGCCTAACTGATGTGTGGATAGCAACTTACACAGACATGTTGAAGTTTGTTCATTATTGTCAATGCCTTCCTCTGAAACACAAAACAGAGTGAAGGATCACATACATTATGAATAAACAGTTAATAGACAATATTGATTAGAATTATTATTAGAATTATTCTAAGAAATTGTCTAATTGTCAGGGCAAGGGCAAGAGTATATTTCACCAGCTAAAGCAAAACGCACTGAGGAATAACATGGAGCTGATTTTACAAACCTTAGAATGAAGCGTTGATTTGATCTATTTTGCAACTTGCAATGAATGAATGAGTAAAACATCAAGTATACATTATTTGTGTATCAACCTTTTAATAAGTGTATAATCCTGGTCACACCCTCATTTTTTTTTATGAGTAAGCGTAAGCAGAATTGTGAGGGTTAGGGTGAAAGGGTGGGACTTTTTAGGCTCTTTGTTAACTTTCCCTCCATATTTCCCCTTTTTCCCTCTGCTCTTGTTCATGTTCTTTTTTTCTCTTACTTCTCTTACTTGCTTGAATGCCAGCGGATACTTTGCACATGCAGTTAAATTATAATTGTTAAACTGCAAACTGAGCAAATATTGTCATATCCAGGAGCCATTAAATTCAAAAGGACTAAAAACAGACCATTTTCTCTGCCACTGACTCATTATAGTAGGAAAGGCACATGGTTAACACTTGTGCTTTCTCCATGACAATCAAAATATAATAATAGGCCTTTGTATAGTAGCTACCTCAAAATAAAAACCAAATGACAAATCATGACAAAAAATGCCTTATGTTATCCGATACTAATTAGTAATCCAATTACTTTGAATCAAAACGGAATACTACTTACGAGCCACCGTGTAGCTGCTCAGCAGCAGTATCAGACATAGCTTGCTGTAACCCATCATGGGTTAAATAAAAGGGTTCCCTCTGTGTTCTTCAGCCGTCTCAGTCTTGACCAATACAACAACAAATCTACCCAGATCTTTTATACAGGTATGCAGACACAGCAAAGCCTGTGAGGTCGTTTCAAAGTTCAAACTCTGACTAGCACTGAAGGTTATGGGTGGGTAAATAGCGGTTTCTAGTGAGGATTTCTAGGTGTCCCCAGACCTCAGATACTGGAGTTCTTGTTGCTTTTCTCTGTACTTTAGTATTTAATTAAAATTCTTTGAATTCAAGGTTCGACGTGTTGTGCGTTCAGAGATGAAATTCTGCATACCTTGGTTATAACGAGTTATTAGAGTTACTTTTGCCTTTCTGTCATCTGGAACGAGTCTGCTGATTCTCCTCTGAACTCTGACATCAACGAGGCATTTTCATCCACACAACTGCCGCTCGCTGGATATTTTCTCTTTTTTGGACCATTCTCTGTATGAATCAGTCTGTGGTACTGTAATAATCAACTTATAATTAGATTTAATCATTATTAGCATTACTGTGGTTATAGAGAAACTACTGATGAAACAAATCTTATGAATGCTTTGATTCACTATATCCAAGTAAATGAGCATCAGTGTCGTTACAGTTGCGACAAAATGGGCACATAGATGTTTCTCTTGGGGATGCAAACTAAAGCCTATTTTAATGGGACCTCTCTCCAATTTATGGTATGTTTCAGGGAGGACTGCTGGAAGACCTTCAGTTTAGGACCAAACAGCCCAGTGGTGAAACTGTCCTGTTTCTGGCCTCAACATTGTTGTTGTTTTTAAGTCAAGGAATTTTTTAAGTGAAGGTGCAGAGAGTGTTGGGCTGTAATTTCTTTCCTGGACAGAGTCACTTTGCTACTGTTATATTTCTGATAAGTGCACATGTGTTTTACTCTGACGACTTAATGACAGACTGAATAGGTCACAAAGTGCAACCAGGGTGAATGTAATGTAGTTTAAAGTACCTATAGAATAAACGATAAAAGGGTAGATATAAGGGTAAAGTACAGTACATAATAATAATAATAACATTAATAGCTTTTTCAATACAGGAAACAAAGTGTTTTACAAAAAACAATGAAAAAGAAACAAATAAGTGAAATAATGAAAATAGACATCACACAATGTGTCTTAAGAAGTGAGATAAAACAGGGAACTGACTCTGCAAGCCTGATCTCCTCTGGCAGGTTGTTTCAAAATGTAGTGGATGTAGTGTAGTGCAGTGGTAATTCTGTGTGTCAGTATTATTGCAGATATTTTGGTATCTGTGTTTATAACAGCCGATAAATGACTTATTGATCTAATTATAATTAAAAAAGAAACTGAGAGACAGAAGACCGATCTTTCAATCATGTTATGAGTGTTGTTGTTGCATAGTTTGTCCACCAAAGGGCGCTCTGCAACTCCATGTTGGCAACACAAGTGTTTGGAATGCCACAAATCAAATTCAAAGTACTATTTATAAACTGCATTATGTCATGTTGTCTTGGTGGTCTCATGACTCCAAATAACAAATGGAGAGATAATCTTTGTTTATGTTATGTGTTTCTGAAAAGAAGAAAATAACAATATTGGCAAATATTTTGCATTTCTTTTAAGTAGAAACAAATAGACATCACAGATTGGGGTGAGTGGGAATGATGGCTGCATTCTAACATTCTAATTCTAACCCTCTCACTTGTTTTTTTATTTTTTGCTGTTCTCTTCCTTATGTGTGTGTATCAATCAATCAGACTTTATTTGTGTATTGCCTTTCGTGCAAAATAACAATACAAGGTGCTTGACATTGTGTTAAAATTCCAACATAACCATGTACCCAAAACACATTCTGCATTGCTTTGCAGCAAAGTAAAACTTAAGAAAATAAAATGAGAATTAGAAATAGAATAAAGAAAAGTAAAAAGATAAATAATATATAATTAAGCACAAAAGAGAGAACTAAAATGAATATTATTGTCAATATAAGAAAATACACTAGAGCTACTCTCTATATATCATTGTCCTTACCACCTGGGTTACTAGAAAACCAGAGGATCTGAGGGGTCTATTGGGAACATATTTGACATACCCGTGGCTGCAGCATTCTGAATGGTTTATATATCTTATTTATGGACTTCAGAAGAGAAATGTACGTTGCAATAGTCGAGTCTGCTGGTTATGAAAGCATGGATTTGGTTGGTTTAAGTCTAGGAGTAGCTACTAATATGGAGAGCTTCTCATCATCCATTTTAATTCTCAAATCATTTAAAACTTTGACTACAAATTTTCAGTGTTGTATAATATATAAACTATCTTGATACCTTGATACTTTGAATGGTGCTGTTTTAGTGCTATGATGGGGGCAAAAGCCAGACTGAAATGTCTGAAATATGCCATTTTGGTACTCAGTTAGCTGGTACTAAACCATCCTCAAACATTTTGTTTAGGAAGGAAATATTTCAGATTGGGGTGTAGTTGTTGAGTTTTAACAGGACATGGTTGTTTTTCTTTATGCAGGGGTTACAACAGCAGTTTTCAGTATTGTGGGAAAAACAGGTTAACAGAGAAAGATTTATCATCTCAGGCACTTCAACCTCAAGACAATAAAACACAGACTTAGATAGGGAGGTGGGGATGGGATCAAGTGAACAGGTAGGCCTAGAGGGGTTTAATTTCACAACTATGTTCCTAAGCATTTCCTCATTAACAGCAGTACAATCAGGTAGTCGTGAGGTAAAATGTCCACAGATTTGCACAGGCTTATTCTAAATTAACTAACATAAGATATACCAATATAACAGCAAGATGTTAACTGTTCAATTGCCCTATTCTTTTTCTTAAAAATATTGCCTACACGTTCGACAATAAGCGGCTTTTATTATGAAGGCAGACCGGAAGTGTAGCACTTCCGTCGCTCTGTAAACATGTTCCTGTCTAGGCAGTGACATGTCTTTGAACTTCACATAGGTTCTCAACTTTCATAAAGGACATTGCTATAACACTTTGTAAGGTAAGACATGGATAAACAGCGGTAAATGGAAAGGAGTTATTTAGAAGCCAGCGAATCACGGTACTACTTATATTTAGCGAAAGTGCGCAGTGCGTTTGAAAACGTTGGTGGGAAATTACTGGCTGATTCCTACATCGGATAGGAAATGAACGAATCGTAGACTGTAAAAAAGAAGGGATAAATGGATAAATGTAACTACCGTATAGCTAACTTCTGGCCTGTGCATTTTGAGGCCAGAAGACTGCGGCAAGTGAGCGTCGTTTGGAGTTTGATGCGCGTCTATTTGAGCTATTAACGTTATAACAGTAACGTTAACGTTGCAGGTGATTGGAACAGACAAAAAGGACGAAGACTCGCACTTCAGCTTCAGCAACCGTTTCTGACATTGTTTTCTAACGCTACTGTTGCCATCATTGGTTTGCTGAGAAGCACAAGGGTTTTTTTCCCCAAAATGTTCCTGACTATGACCAGAAACGTTGCAGTAACGTTGGTCTCACATTACTGTCCTTTAGTTTGCGTTCAAGACTCTAACGTTATTGTACACAAGGAAATATAAGCGGAATTCACCTCCAAAGTCAAAATGCATTGACACAGCAATTTACACTAAATGGCCTTGCCAGTACTGCAAGTGTTGGAAATATTCCTCAGAGACTTTGGTCCATAGTGACATGATAGCATCAGGTATTGCTCTAGATTCGTTGGCTGCACATCCATGATGAGATTCTCCCGTTCCACCACATACCAAAGGTGCTCTATTGGATTGAGATCTGGTGACTGTGGAGGCCGCTGGAGTACAGTGAACTCAGAAGATGGTACACTGTGGTCAGAAAGGGATGGACATGGTCAGCAACAATACTCAAGGAGGCTGTCTCCTTCAAACATTGCTCAATTGGTACTAAGGGGCCCAAATTGTGCCAAGAAACTATCCCCCACACCATTACACCACCACCAGCAGCCTGAGCCGTTGATACCAGGCAGGATGGATCCATGCTTTCATCTTGTGTACACCAAATTCTGACCCCACCATCTGAACGTCGCAGCTGAAATCGAGACTCATCAGACCAGGCAACACTTTTCAATCATCTGTTGTCCAGTTTTGGTGAGCCTGTGTGAATTGTAGCCTCAGCTTCCTGTTCTTAGCTGACCGCAGTGGCCCCCGGTGTGGTCTTCTGCTGCTGTAGCCCATCTGCTTCAAGGTTCGACGTGTTGTGCGTTCAGAGATGGTATTCTGCATACCTTGGTCGTAACGAGTGGTTATTAGAGTTACTTTTGCCTTTCTGTCATCTGGAACCAGTCTGCTGATTCTCCTCTGACCTCTGACATCAACGAGGCATTTTCATCCACACAACTGCCGCTCGCTGGATATTTTCTCTTTTTTGGACCATTCTCTGTAAACCCCAGAGATGGCTGTGCGTGAAAATCCCAGTAGATCAGCAGTTTCTGAAATACTCAGACCAGCCCGTCTGGCACCAACAACCATGCAACGTTCAAAGTCACTTAAATCCCCTTTCTTCCCCATTCTGATGCTCGCTTTGAACATCAGCAAGTTGTCTTGACCACGTCTACATGCCTGAAAGCATTGAGTTGCTGCCATGTGATTGGCTGATTATGTGTGTTAACAAGCAATTGAACAGGTGGACCTAATAAAGTGTCCAGTGAGTGTATATTGACGTAATGATAATTGATACATGTGACTTTTGCTTAGCTGTTGTTTTAGAACAATGGACAATGGAGAGAGAGAGAGATTAGGATACTATCCTTGAAGCTTAGTTCATGCCATTAAGCCACAGTGAAAGAATTGTTTGTGAAGGGTGTTTTATTTTGAAAATCGACTGGATTCTCTATGCCTATGGATTCATCTACTCCGTGCTGCTTGAAGTGAACTTTAGCAAAAAACAAAAAAATTGCACATCGAATCGTAATTGCAATATCTGGCAGAAAAAATCATAATTAGAATTTTTCCCCAAATCGTGTAACTGTGCAGTAAAATAACATCAAATATTACATGGACAGTGTCATTCTGAAGAGGAATCTATTGAAAATTTCAGCAAACTTCAAGGAAACAAGTCTTTGACAGTTTAAATAAAGACATGTTTGATGCATTACGTGATGACTTTGCAGAAAAATGATTTTTCAGATTGTATATAGGCAGCATATATATGCCCTGGTGGTGGCTCCTCAGTCCCAAATGAACACGCCTCAAATCTGCATCAGACCAGCGACCTCCTTCAGATCTGGTGTTGGGCCTAAAGCAGGGGAAAGCAAAGAAAGCAGGGACACAGCAAAAACAATACTGAACTAAAAAGACAAATAGATGGATACAAAGGAGAATTAATTAGCAATATCTCATTAATACATTAATGAATATTATTCTGGCCTGACCCAGGTGTCCTAAGCTGTCCAGGTTCCACCCAGACACTCTATCTCTCCCTCTCTCTCTCTTCCACTTTCCTTAAACACATATTCAGGGAACTTTGGTTATTACCTTCCTGTTGTTTCTGTCTCTTGCCTCATGTCTCCATGTTCCATCTTCCTGTTAATCACTTTTACTAAACACAGTATTAATAAACACACACAAACATAATAAATAATTGATTCAGTAGGCTGAACAGTTAATCAGACATACAGATTTGACTGGCACTGTAAATGTATTACCTAATAGTTTTATTTGTATTTTATTCTAATGTTGTCTTTTGTGTTTTCTGACAAAGCATGTGCGTGGATGTCTAGGTGAAACATGCTGACCGCTGTCCGAGTCACCGGACGTTCCCTCAGATACTTAGTATCTCAAACTCTGCCAAGGACTCAGGTAAGAGTGTTATTATTTATCTCCTTTCCCCTGCCTTTCAATAGTTTATACATTGGTTAATATAGTTTTAGATCGCCAGCTGGCTTTATAAAGGCAGTTGCAAACTGCAGCCAGCGTTTGTGAACTCTGTTTCATGCACCTGTAAACAATGATCACCAGAGGGCGTTTTCAGTTGCTGTTTCTAAACACTGTTTGGGAACGCCACTCATTGTGCATCCACCCGAACCTCAATGCCAGTGTGCGTGTGTTTATGGCAGTGAAATGTAAGGGAATTAAGTTTATTTATCAACTTTGAAGTCAAAAGTTCAAACAGGCGTCTGTAGGAAACATGACTGAGAACATGAGAGCCATAAATACTGATATACTAAATATCTTGTAAACAATTTGATATTGCTGACAAAATATTATTTACACACATGTAGATATTCAGTTTATAATCCTAATGACATACTGATAGCAAGACTTCCTTAAAACTACTTGATTATTTTATTTTATTTAAATGATTTGCTTCTGTCAGTATTTTTGGCTGTCACGTTCTCAGTGATATTGTAATAAATTAATATCATGTTCTAAAATGTTGTAAAATTTTCTCAATGTTCAATGAAGTTGGGGAATAAGTTTATTAAAAAACAAAAACAAAAAAAACTTTTCAGTGGTGTGAAGAGATGCACACGGGATTTAAAGTCTCCCTACAGGACAGCGTTTAGGTACACAGTCTAAATTTGAATCAAGGCCAGCAGATTCTCTGCTTCTCCGTATGTCATTAAGCTCTGTGCTGAGACAAACTACTTTACAGAGAGTAACAGATCCCTGACTGAAACGTTTTGTTGTGTTGGGAGGAGAGCACAGGTCTGCGCTGTGAGTAGTCACACCTTAACTCACATGGGAACTCATCTTGCTCTAGAATCTCATTCGCTGTCCGACTTTTGCTCTTTTGTCATTCTAACAGCAACCAAGGTAACACTGCAGTATTTTATCCAGGGAAGCCCAGAATCCAGTTCTGTATTACTCTTTCTTAATCTTGCCTTCGGGTCACCTCAGATAAACATTTGTGTTAGTCAGGTTATAAAACTTCTGCTCTTAGGATGCAGAGAAATACTGACTCAACCTGAGGGTGTGTTTATCACCATGCTGCATGAATGCTCATCATAACCATCTGTATTCTCGTCTGTATTCTTTTGAAGTTTAAGTAAAGATTCTCTTTTGGAACCTGAGTTATATTTTTTCTTCTGCGGCACTAATGTAAAAAAGATCATTTTGGACACAAACTCTGTTGTCTTTATATGTTTGTGGATGTCCAGGTGAAACATGCTGACTGCTGTCTGAACCACCAGAAGTTCCTTCAGAGACTCAGTGTCTCTAACTTTGCCATGGACTCAGGTATACAAACACAGATACATACTATGTCCCTTTGTATGGGATTGTGTCTAATTATAGGGAAGCAAGCACTTTATTTAGTTTTTAAGGCTTTGGTGCGTTGCAAGTACAATTACTGGTTCAATATTAGTGAAATGGAAGGAAATTATGTGTTTTTTAATCATTTTTGAAATCAAAAGTTGTTACAGGCATCTATAGAACATGACATTAGGTCATTACAATACAACGGAGTACATGAGAGCCACTAATACTGATAAAGGCCTACTGAATATCTTGGAAACAGTATGATTCAGCTCATATATGTAGATCTCCTCCTGTTTTTGGAGCATTTAAAAATGAATTGGCAGTTTTTAAAAAATCCTAACAACATATTAATAGTAAGAATTCCTTAAAACTTGACTCCCTTAAATTGTATTTTAAGTAATCCCTTCTCTCACTCTTTTATAAGACAATTATATGGTTTGTTTTCATTTATTTTGATTATCTCACATCCTCATAAACTGTATGTTTAAGTCAAGTGAGTCCCAAATACTACATGGCAGCTTGACCAAGTACAACAGACAACTAAATAAAATGTGAGCTTATGTATCACAAGCACCAAAATGACCCAAAGTTTCAACTGTCTCTCTGTGACTCCATCCCTCTGCTTCGTTGTCTCACGCCTCCTCCTCTGCCTTCCAAAGGTTAACCAAACCCAAGTCATCTTCACTTGAACATTAACCCTAGTGAAACAAGTCAGAGTAACCTGAGTCTTCAATAGGCAGGGTTTGGCCATATACTATGTAGCTCTCTTCCACCACTTCAGTCACCTGTTGCTGTAACTGGCTTACAGAAGTGTGTGGGCTATGATGGAGCAGTGGACTAATTTTAATTCTCTGAGTCCTGCTCAGTTGAGGCTGTTGATCAGGCAGGAAGATCCCAGAATAAGAACGACGACTGGATTAGCTAGCGGTAAGATCCAGTGTATCACCCACAGGGCTGTATAGGACACCTTAACCGTGCACTTATATTTTTTGCTTACTTGTGGAATTTTCAATAATGTAAAAATGTAGGGCTGAACAATTAGAGGAACATATAAAAATGCGCTTTGTCTACGTAGATTGCAATTTAAATTGCAATTTTTTTCTATAAATTAAAGTACAAGTACAAGTCTAGGTATGATTGTACCGAGCAAAACCACAAACTTCAGCTCAATTTACAATTCAGTTTAGTTCTTTATAATCAGCAAATCCATCAAAATGTGTATCAGGACAAAATTATGGAGCCGGGGGAGGGGGGGTAATAGTACAAGAAAATTAGTCCGAGAGATTAAAGCGGTAAATTTAAAAACTTAAAAACTTGAGTCATACATTTGCAAAAAATAGGTTTGTTAGTTATCGGATGAACTGAACACAGACGCTGGGCTCAAGCCAACTTTTTGGGCTGAACCCACAACCCTCCGGGTCCAAATAGCGCATAGAAACGGCTCGCAACCTTGGATCCATTATCAAATAGATTGAAATCCTGTTCAACCAACTATCAGATGTCCAATCTGACTCTGATGAAGACACAGTAGTGTTAAAATGTTGATCTCTTTGCACTATTAGAGGCTGTATATCAGTCAGTGTGCTCCAGCACCCTCTTTGGAAGTTTGCTGTCCTCCAGCTGCATACTGCTGGAAGATGCACGGAGAACCCATTTTCATCTTGTTGAACGATTTGTTGCAGCATAAATGGGCACCTCAGTGTTCTGGTAATTGCAAATGAAGAAATAGAAAGACTTGCCTTGGGGACTAGAGAAGCATTTGAAGAAATGGGAGATGAAATCTTGTACTGGACTAAATAATATTCTCTGTTTTGTTTCTATTATAACATACATAAATGTATGTGTCTTTGTGTCAGGATACCTGCAGGCTAATGTCATCCTCCTGCCCAGTCATCTGGCCAATGACTTTGAAGCCTTATGTCACAGAAATCCCGCCCCTTTGCCACTCCTTTATCGCAGCAAATCAGGAGAGACTTCCTGTCCGGATCTTGCTAAACATGCTGACATAAGGTAGAACAAACACACACAAACATGCCTACACCACTGACTAAGCAAGCATCCCACAGATTTCCATTATTCTTTGACAATTTGTGTTCGTCTTCTTCTTCCTCCAGTATGACAATAGGTTTGTACATTAGTCATGCAGTAGGGGTGGGGAAAATCAATACAGCATAGTATTGCAATATTTTCTGTGGCAATATTGTATCGCTACACGGACGTCAAACATCGATCTTTTATTATATAAATTGTACATGAGAATTTTACTTTTTGGTACTAAAGGATTAAAATCAGTCGGGGGGGTAAAAAATTGCAATATATCATAATATTTTTTAAATCGCAATAATATCGTTTCGTGACATAAGTATTGTGATAATTTCGTATCGTGGTGATTCCCACCCCTATCATGCTGTGTTCAATAAAACATTCAGAAATAGCAGAAACTGCCTCCCACAGAGATCTAGAGAAGGTCAGGAATTGAGCAGAATCCAAAATGTCTCCTTTAATCAGTTCAAGAAGCTTTAAGGTGAATCTACTTCTGTCCGTTCCTCGTGATGAATGATTGTCCCGCCGTGGTTGGAATGATTCACCCCTGTATAAACAAATGTCAGCACATTATACATTAACTCAGTTTTGGTTGATGTTTTTGACTTTTGTGTGTTACGGCAGCTGCCTGCTAATGATTTTTAAAAGTTGTTAGAATTTTACAATAATATCTTGAGCAGCGCCTTTACTCTAAACATGTGGGTTAGAGTTAAACCAATCAAATGTAGAACATTGACATAATACTTTCCACACACCATAGAATACACCATACCATAGTAAAGATGTATTCCACCACTGTTCAACGAGATCCCCATCCACCTCACAGAAATTGGCCTTTCGTGCTACTGACCCACCTTGAGCAGTGTGGAGAAGGTCACATCCCACTGCAAATAATTTTCACATTTTTCATCTCGGTTATTTAATGAAGGTAGTACTGAATATAGAATTGTTCTTATAAGTTTTATATACATCCCACCCAATTAGATATGAAATTTTGTGTGGTAAGTTATGGCATTATGGAATCCCTCGCATTTATCCTCCCACCTTACATCTCTGTGCTTCCCTTTATTGTTGCCGAACAAAACTCACCATGACACATGACGTGTGTTTGTGTCTTCAGGACAGATATTTCTCAGTACTGTGTGTACGAAGAGGGTGTCCTGGTGAAGACAGTCTCCAGTCTGTGGAGTTACAGCTCTCCGCCAAGGTATTTTAACAGACAAGCACTTCTTTTAGTGCAGTTTAGAGGATCACACTTAAAGCAGTTTGATTGAGTTCCAACATGAAGGGGAAACTGGGATGTGAAGAGCTTAATTGGGATTAACTCAATGGAAAAAGATATATGTTCATAGCTTTCTGTTATATTTGTACCTGGGGAAAAGTCAACAAAATAATATCACCCCTAGTCAAACTTAAGAATGAGTGTTTTTTTACATTTATAATTCAGTTAATATTTGAACAAACCACCCAAGAGAGCATCAAAGGAATCTCTGAGCATACAGTATGTCCAGTACAGTTTTTTCTGTATTTGATAGTTAATTACAAGACTGATTTCCCATGATTTTCCCATCTTGACGTGACTTTGTGACCCTACCAGCTTCACTTCTCCTTCTTGTGCTCCCAGGATTGCGTCAGAGCAGCAGGCTGTGCAACATGGCCCGTGCTCAGACATGGTGTGTTTCTATTTGGGCTGCAGTTTTGGCTTTGAGGGCAGACTGAAGAAAGCTGGAGTCCCTGTCAGGAACGTGGAGCAGGGCACAAATGTCAGCATGTATAGGGTATGTTACAAATATCTACAAGGGTCCTATAGTGTGGCAAATTAATTGTAACATCTTTGTATGATTACCATAGTAGATTAGAAGGTAGAGATGAACTAGAGCGTCACACCACTGTCACCCGATCTCCCCCTCCTTGATGTACATTTGTAATGAGATTTGTGGATATATTCTGTCAAATGTAATTACGTATCTTGGCCAAATGAGTTTGTGTATTAAAACTGCTGTGATGTAACTTTTAAAGAGATTCAAAGTTTGTGACACTATGCAACACCAGAAGTAGTTTAATGTACTGCAGTTCTCTTCTCACACTTCTGGATTTTGTCAACCATCAAGCATTTGGAATTACACACTGTTACCCTGTTTGGACACATCCAACTTTCTCAACTTTGTGCGTCGCCCCACCACCACACCAGTGTGGATATTACAAATGATATAACAGTTGTAATGTAGGAAATGTTATTCTGCTTTTTGATTATTGATTAATGTTTCTCAGTTCATGTATTTAACATGTGGTCCTTCAAAAGTGAAAAATGCAACTTTCCAGAGCCCAAGGTGACATCTTACGATGTTCTGTCTGACTAGCAGTCCAAAACCCAAACTGGATATTTGGATTTTTTTTAACCTGAAATATAGCTTAAATAATTAATCACAATTATCAAAATAGTTGATGATTATTTATCTTTCATTTCACCAATCAATTGGTAACTAATTATTTCAGCTGTAGTTTATATTATATAAACATTGTGAAAAGAATCTATGGAAATAGGATAAAAACAAGTGTAATGAATTTGAACCAAGGAACAAAACATGATTGTACTCACAGTGTGTGTGTGTGTGTGTGTGTGTGTGTGTGTGTGTGTGTGTGTGTCCAGACTGCAGTTCCCTGTATTCCCGCCGGAGTGTTCAGCTGCCCTCTAGTGGTCACTATGCGTGCTGTTCCAGCTGGCATGTTGGATGCAGCAGTAGAAGCTACTCACCTCAGCCCGCTAGCACATGGAGCTCCTGTACACATAGGAGACCCAGGTACACACACACACACTTTACACAGGATAGTAACCTTGATCTAGCAGTACATCACTTGGCATTATTTTTGTTTGTAGCTCTCCTAGGCATACAGAACCTGTCCAGACCAGACTATGGGGAGCGAGTAGAGCTGCAGCCTGGTGATGTCACGGTGTTCTGGGCCTGTGGAGTGACTGCTATAGAAGCAATACTCAGCAGCAGTGAGCAATATCATAATTATTGATGATAGTTGTGTATTCGCTGCAGAACCTCCTCTACAATTTCATAGACTCTAAAAAGTGATCGAGCATAATAGTCTCGTTCTGTCTCCTTCCAGAGCCCTCTTTGGCGTTCAGTCACTCACCAGGCTGTATGTTCCTGACTGACATCCCAGACTCCTCCCCTTCTTCCCCCATACCTCCTCCCTCTGACAGCGTAGACCCTCCCGCCACGGATCCCAATCTTGAACTGATCCCCCTCTGCTTTCTGGTGTCCCGCAATCCCTTGTTGTACAGTTTAGTATCTCGGAGGGCCACAGCAAAAATCCGACAGCTGGAGACGATTATTGGAGAGGACCCAGGTAAACATGTGCAAAGAGTGATGTCATATAAGCAGTGATTTATCTGATTCAAATGGTATTTCAGCAGCAGAATAACAGGCTTCAATCTACATGCCACACTAGCAGTGTTTACACCGGCACGCTCATGCCCAGTGTACGTGAACGGCCACTTGATGTGCGTTTTCAGGTTTTCAGTCGTTTGAATATAGACAGAGATCAACTCTGATACTCAGCTAAAACGCTGGTGTGGACGGAGATCGTATTGGTTTTAAAACTCCGTTTTTAAACAAAAATGAAGAACCCAAAAAAATCTAAATCTATTGTGTGAAAAATAACAGAGAAGTAAACGTGTTTGACAATGTCCAGCTATAAAGATGTTTCTCACCCTAAACGTTTGTATTTAAGTCTCTGAGAGCCTCTGTTATTAGCAGGAATGTAGGGATGATGGAGAGTTCAGGGGTCATGTCACGTTTGGAAAGCCACTAAGTGTTGTCCTTCGTCTTGGTGTCAGTACCATGCTGGTTGGAGGTGGATGTGAGTTTGTCGTTTTCTGTCACCAGGTCAGCGAGGGATCAGAGCTTTATTTGTTCAGGATGAACTTCTGCGTTCCTGTCTGGCGCTCTCCCACGCTTCCTCCGTTGCCATAACAACCGGCTTCCCCACACACTACATGCATAGGTACCCACGCATACACATACACCTGACACACACATATATTTACATACTGTCAAGCAGTGGTTCTCAATATCATCTAAGTATTCTTATGATACATCATCCTATTCCCCATTTATTATGCTAGCCTGCAGCTCAACTTACACTGCACAAACACTTTGTTGCATGGTAAATTATTCAGCATGGATCTTATTTGGTGCCAAGGTTGTGTTTTGTGTCACGCCAATAGAGCATAACATCTCTTAACTCTGTGAGCCAAATGTGAGAACAGGGGTAGATCAGGTGCAGTGCCTCATGGGAAAACAACGCAGAACTAGTTCCCACAAGTGAACGCTGGCTGATGAGGAGTGTGCAGCAGGGAATTAGCAGTGAGCCTGACTTGTCTTGACGGATCAAACTGCCCCAAACAGCGGTGGAAACACACAACCTTAACAGCGTATTCAGCTGAAACAGGAAGCAGTGTCGCACATAACTTTGAGATCGGGTCAGTGTCTTAAAGCATGACTCCAAAATATGATTGTTATTGGTGTTTGATCTTTAGCCCTCCTGACGAGACTGACGGCCCACCTGGAGCCATTGCCATGGCAACCATGCTGCTGTCGCTAGGGAAACAGGTGTCAATGGTGACAGACAGGAGAGCCTTGGAGATGAACCAGGCCATCATTGATGAAGCTGTGCAGACAGGTGGGAAAGAGTTTCAATTAAAATCTGTGTAACCTGATGAGCAATGTGTCCTCTTCCACCACCAGGATCTGTTACCACTGAAATAATTGAATTATCCTTCATCATTGCTGTTGACATGTTTTTAATTTTAAAGAGAAAGCTTCTACTTGGTTTAATAACTCTGTAATTCCACCCTCAGGTGTGCTGAAAACTGCCATCCCATTGGTCACATTTGAAGACAGCAGCCCAGGCTCTGCACTGCACTTCCTCTGCCACCATGGAGACCCCAGCAAGCCCAGGTTAACTGACCTGCCATGTGTGATTGCAGTATACATACAGACACAATTAAGGACCTTTTAGCCCTATTAGAAAAAAATTGTGACTGACTCTAGATTAGTGTGGGTTGGACTTAAATTTGTGTCCTTAGTATAGATATTTGTTCAGTGTAACTGGACTTTAATGTCTTGTGCAGTTGGGACTACCAGCATCATTACAAACATTAATCTTTTACTATTTCCGTCTTGGTAAGTCTACATTAACAACTCAAATCTAAAGACAAATCATTGAAGAGAACAATAAATGCAGACAATAAAAAGCTCTATCTTTATGATGGTGTTAAAGCCCAGACCGTATACTCTCCAAATCCAACCTGTGTGCTAAGTCCGTACACCTATACAAAGAAATAGGCCAGTCAGTGAACGTGTAATCCAGGCTGCAAATTATACAATGAAGACCAGGGGGGTCAACTTTTTTTCCAGGTCATAAAGGAAACCCAGTACAGTGCCGGCGTGTGCTTCAGTGAACTAAAATCTTACAATGCTTATCATTATCCTTGCATATTTAACTAATGTCTGCAGTCTGTAGATGATAAATCAAATTCATTATACCAATTGATAGGTTCCCCATACCACAAAACAACTTTTGTAGTCAGGAGTCAACAAGTATTCAAGAGCAAAACTGCCAGACAGTCAGACCCGCACAATGCTGAACCAGAACCAAAGACACTATCATAAAATACAGGCTGCATTATCATCTCTAATTCTTAATTCTTATCATTTTAAGTTAAGTACGTTTCAACTTATTCTTTTTTAGCAAATATCTCCTTTCCTCTTGTTCATGTTGACTGTGAATGCAATGTAATGCGCATTCAATAAAGTACAAGTCATACATTGTTGGAGAATAGGGGGAGGTTGGGTCTGTAACTAATAATAAACAGTACCATAAAGTCTAGACCTCCTCTATATGAAAAGTGCAGTGTTAGGAATTGGCGTTATATAAATAAAACTGAAACTGAATACACAAACCTGGATTTTAACATTGACCTAGCCAGGTAGAACTCCTAAATTCCAGAGTGAAAACATGTTGAATCCTTATTAATCCTTAATCCTTATTGTAAAAAGAATCCCAAAAGACTTGATGAAATAATGAACTCTATATTGATGTCAAAAAGTATTTCTACAATAACTAATTCTCAATTGCACTGCTCATGCCTGAGCACCAGTGTTAGCTAACAATTACATATGTGAAATGAAATAGTGGTAATGAAATGACAGGGTGGGCTGTCAGCTAGCTAACCTCACATAGCTCATTTTAAGTAAAATAAATGCTAATCACGAAACTCTAAGGATAGAAAAGTTAAGTGCATTAAAGCAGCTAGATTAACTGCTGATATTAACCTACAGTCTGTGCCACTGCAAGTGACGCGGGCAGACAAGATGTTCAACTAACGTCAACGTATGGTTGATCTTTGGGGTGTCTGAAAATGTATTTCAAGATTCTTGAATTTAAGTCATGAATATGGGAAATATATTTTAATATTTACTATTACAGGTAAGGAAGACCCCCCTCAACTGTTGTTTTTGCCTCTTTTGGGGAGGTCCAAGCTTTAATTAGGGAGGTCAGACCCCCCCCAATCCCCCCTGTAATTCGAACCATGGTGTAATCTGCATATTTTTCATAGTCTATTGAGTAGTGTAGTGTGTGTCTCTGCTTCAGAAGTGTGAAGGCAATGTGCTTGTAATGTTTAATACCAGGTACGACCACCTTGTGGCGATAGAGCGCAGTGGACGTGCTACAGATGGAAATTACTACAACATGAGAGGAATTAACATCAAACATCTGGTGGATCCTATTGATAACCTGTTTATTGCTGCCAACCATATACCAGGAATTACCACTACAGGTAGGTAACATGCATTTTATTGTCTTCATATTACTTTAATATTACCTTTTTATAACTATAGTTTAGGAATACACCTTGGAAGCAGTAACTGATATACCATGTTAATTATTTTATTAGCACACAAAATGATTCACATATCAGTCATCACATAATAATATTATGTGTATAATGGTATCCATCCATCCATCCATCCATCGTCAACCGCTTATCCTGCATACAGGGTCGCGGGGTGCTGGAGCCAATCCCAGCTGACATCGGGCAAAAGGCAGGGTGCACAGGTCGCCAGTCCGTCGCAGGGCCACACATAGACAAACAACCAGTCACACTCGTGTATAATGGTATATCATTATAAATGCAATCATACAATTATTTGTCCTGCTTCATGCGTTAAAGTTAAGGATCAAGTAAATGAATCAAGCAGGATTCCAAACATGTACCTTAATAATTCAGCATGTTATACGCCTCTATAAAAGATGTAAAAAGCTCACTCCTCATCTCTCCTTGAGGCCAGACATTCCAGGCTACGTTATCTGCTACTTGCACAACACACCCGAGTTGCATTGTGGCTAATGTGGGTGCCAGGTTTAGACGAGGAGAGCAGGAATGCGTGGAATAAAATAAACGGGAAAAAAATAAGCGTATCTCTGCTTCTGCTGCATCAATTTAGATCTTTTTTATTAAACTGTCCATTATGAGTCTGACTGTGTTACAGTAGAACAATGGTGTATTGGCGGAGTGCTCTTATAAAATGATTTGAGAGGAGCAAACTGTATTGGCCCCTTTGCCTTTACTTTACAGAATATATAATAGCAACAACAAAAACAACAGCAATAATATAATCTTTATTTATGGAGAACTTTTTAAAACAATGTTACAAATTGCTTTCACAAGAGCAAAGAAAATAAAACACAGCAAAAAAAAATAAGATACACTGTAAAAGCAGGAAGAAAGTTATGAAAATAAAATACAGTTATAATTAAAATAGTGTAGCGACAAGTGGCCCACCGCAAGGAACCCCGCTCTCTCGGGTCACCATCTCCGGGGGGCCGTAGCACATTGTGTTTGAAGATACCACTTAGGCAAAAAAGGCGACCTCTGATAACAAGCTAGTTTCAACACTAGGTACTGGCCTGACCCTCTGTATTGAATTTCGAACTCCAGATTCACAAGTTCCCTAGTCCGTAGCTGGTTATCTGTATTGAGGTGTGTTAATGTAGGCAGTGTGGATGTTAAAGTAAGTAAATACTGACTTACCAGTCTAGAAGAGGGGAAGAAGACAGAGACAAATTGGAAAAGCCTTTTAGTTTCTCCTAGGGCGTTCATCCAAAGAGAAACATATTTATTTTCAATAAATGCTAAAAAGCGTTTACAAAGTTCTTCACTAAATTCCCTACAATATCACCCAGGCTCTATGAAAATAAAGTCGTAATATTACAAGAATAAAGTTGTATTTTTAAGCTACATGTTAGGGGAAATGTCAGAAGAGCAGCCTGCCGCTTCCAAAATGAGGAACTTAGAGAATGTTTTGAAGTTAAACTTCAATATAGGTTTCACAAATAACAAAACCAAATTATCAGCATATCATATCAAGTATCAGGACTTTGAAAAGACTATGCAAGAAACTCTCTCTATTTTGTGGAAGAGGAAATGGCTGGTAGTGGTCGACTGCAAGGCTTTATTCTCATAATATTACGACTTTATTCTCGTAATATATCATTTATTCATTTAGCTGACACTTTTATCCAAAGCGACTTACAATTGCTATACATGTCAGAGGTCGCACGCCTCTGGAGCAACGAAGGGTTAAGTGTCTTGCTCAGGGACACAATGGTGGATCACAGTGGGGGATTGAACCTGGGTCTATCACACCAAAGGTATGTGTCTTATCCATTGCGCCATCGCCATCAACTTTAATCTCATAATATTACAACTTTATTCTCATAATCTCCAATTTTTTTTCCTTCTCAATGTGACCATAATACTCCGTCGTAATGAAGAGCTTTAAAAGTAATCAATAAAATTCCTCCCAGTCTGTTGTAAAACACACTGGGAGCCAGTGTAATGAAGCTAAAACAGGGGTGATGTGATCATATTTCTTTGTTCTGGTTAAAAGCCTGGCAGCTCAGTTCTGCACAGTCTGGAGTCGATTAATAGATTTTTGGGTCAAGCAAGTAAAAAGGCTGTTGCAGTAATCCAGGCGTGGTGATATAAAGGTGTGTAAGATGGTCTCAGTGGCCTTACGCATGTGTCAAATGTTTTACTGTTGATAAGCTTGCTATTGATACTACTTTTTTACACACAAACTGAATATTCATCATCTGGACAGGCTTAACTACAGACTCTTAGCCCTATTTTCAGCACTTTGGTCAACTCTGGTTGCTTTTAAATATGCTTTATAAATAAACTTGACTTGACTTGACTATTTTGAATGTATTTTGAGATGAAAGAAATGAATATGAGTATGTCTGTTGCTCACTATACTCTTAATGTCGCCCGTATCCCCTATGCTACAGCAGATATTCTCTTATGTCTCTGCAGGAATCGGTGATGGTGGAAATGAGTTGGGGATGGGTAAGCTGAAGGAAAAGGTGACAACCCTGATGCCGAATGGGAGTCTCATAGCCTGTGATGTTCCCGCTGACTACGCCATCACTGCTGGTGTGGACAATCATTATAATAACTGTACAAAGCAAGCACTGCAGATTATGCTTTTACTGTTGTTATGGGTGCATACAGCACAGAAAGGCTGTTAACATGCAGGTTACGATTTTAACATCACTGCTCATGACATTGCTCAGGTATGGATACACACTAAATATACTCTGAAATTCACATACCGAGCTAACACTATATGTCAGTAAATAAATCCAGACAGAGGAAATGATAAGGAAATGACATATTCAGCTTTCTGTTTATGTGATGCATTGCTAGATGCTGATTTAAAAAGTGACAGATGAGATGCCAGCTATAGGGTTTTTTTTGCCTGTATGCTAAAGTTTCAGTTGTCTCTTGCAAACATCATGTCATTTTAACGGGAGTTATTGCCATGATAATGTCTTTTTCTGCTTTTTATTAGTTATTTAAAAAATAAAATAAAATACAGGTGTGGATTAACGTAGGCTACAGTACATTTTGCCATTGGCTGATCACCATGATTATTTTTTAAGAGCCAAATATTAGCTTTTCAGAAGGTATTTTGTTTATCTGCCTTCTCCCTCTCTCACCCCCACCCCTCCCGCCGGCAGGGGTGTCTAACTGGGGAGGATATGCTGTAGCCTGTGGGCTCTACCTGCTTCACACCTGTCCCTCCCACCAGCGATACCTAAAGAAAGGACTTGGACTGGAACACACAACCCCCCGAGAACAGCTCCAGGACTGGACTGCTAACCTGCCATCTGTGGACAAGGTGACAACCACGTGTGCGCAGACACACGCAGAGACACACACACACACACACACACACACACACTGCTCTCTCACATCCTCTTAATTTAAGTTTTGTGCATTTTTAAGATGTGAATTATGTAGAAAGCAGACGATTTTATGTCCTTGCATGATATAAGTTTTTCTTACCGATAAAAAGTAACAAGATAAAGTTAGATACTCTATATACAAATAATAGGTTACTAAAACTAATAGGAAGGTTAAATCAAGGGCAACTGGACTTGTTTGAAGTTATAATCCATAAAGCAGGTGAGTTTCACTCCCAAAAGACAGAGACACTGCCTGAGCCAAAGTTGACCCTAACTCAGTAAGAGGGGGGGAGGCTTGACTAGGCTCTACATCAAAAGACATGGAATGCAACTGAAGCTCTCTTAATCAAATGCTCATCAAGCTGGTTTGAAAAAGAGCACCCAGAGACTGTTAAAGTGTCTGCTTTGACACCACACAGACCCTAGACCCACTATTCTCTAGGACCCCAAACTCTGCATGACCCTGAGGTTCATCATGATTATCTTGATTATAATGATAATCTTTGTTCTGAAAGGACCATAAAAAGATCCCGTGGAACCACACTATCACACACACACACACACACACACACACACACACACTCAGACCTAACCAACCAGACAACATCTAAGCCCCCTTCTTTCTGTTGCACAGCTTTGTGCAACGTTCACCAGAGGTGGATCATAAAAAAACCCTAACGACCATGGAAAATACCCTCTCCCTATACTGTTTCAAATTCATTCTAATAAAAGTGTAAACTGAATTAATGACTAAATGTTTATCTGTGAAATGTAATTACGAAACTGATTGTCATTCAACTCCGAAAACATTTGAGCACATTTTCAATTTGCCATACATTTTTTAAAACTGCCAATATTCGAAATCTACAGTTGATTTCTCGCCTCAAAACTTCTCAGAAGTGGATTTAGTGATAAATACCAAATAAAAATTGTAAAAAAAAAAAAAGTTCTGTTGTTGGCCTCTAAAGAAAAGATCGGTTGTTGTTACTATTCTAATGCTTTGCATTATGGGACACAGCGCGTGAGGTAGACTGGTCCGATGCATACTGGAGATTTTTTCCGAATCAATACAACATCCAGGTATTTTGGCGCACTGCAGATTTAGCGTTTGTTTGCATACTACATACTACATTTAGGCCAAATCAGTACGTACTACTAGTACAGTAGACGGTTTCAGATTGGGCCTAGGTTTGTTCTCAATAAAACACATTCATTATATCTGATCGGGTCATCACTTATAAGTATGTTAATAATTATATCAATAATTCATTATGATAATAAGAAAAATAAATATAAAACACAAATAAACTCCTAACAAAATAGTAACATTAGAAATTGGAGGATCTCTTCATCATAAAGGAATTTCCAAAACTTAACATCCCTGAGTATTCTTGGGGTCAAATATAAATCTAGTGCTGGGCAACGCTAAAATTTTTTAATCGTGATTAATTGCATGATTTTCGAGCAATTAATCGCACTGTTATGCACAAAAATTGAATTATGCATTCTAAAGTAGTGTATTGCGCACTTTTAATTTAAATGTACCACTATATTCACAAAAGTTTAATAACGTGGTTTGCAAACACTAAACAAATAAGGGTTTGTTTTGTTTTTTACAGCAGTATTCACTTTACACAGTAGCAATAAAATATTTCTTTTCTCAATCTCAACTTAAACATTTATGTAATCAAATCAAATCTAAAACCAAAGCTATTTGCCACTGCCAGGGCATTACCCTTTATCTAGCTTGTTAAAACAAGTCAGAGTCCAGTTTTCTTGTTTTTTTTTCTGAACAGGTATCAGCAGAAACAGTCTATGTTCAGTAGCAAGTGTCCCTGTCAGAGTGAGGTGAAGTGGTTGAGCACAAGGTGGGCAGTGTGTAGCTTCCACTTCACTATGGCATTTGATCGCTTGTCTTGCTTTTGTTTATCATCCAGCTTAGTCTGCCGAAGCCTCCCTCCACTGCTTGTTTGGGTGGGTGATTTGCAGGCTGATCAACATCCCACCCCTCCTGTGACCCGTGGTTTGACTCGATGTGTATTCACAGCCAGCGAGCAACGGACTTTCAAAATAATAATAATAAAAACTGCGTTAATTAGAGATAAAATAATTGTTATCGTATATTAATTAATGTGTTAATGTGATGATAATGTGTTAACGTTCCCAGCCCTAACAAATTCTAATACCCGTAAGAAAGAAAATGGAAAAGAAGATCAATTCAGAAAGTAAAGCAAGGTTAACTTAAAATGTAAGCATTTAACATGAAGGAATACATTCACAACATGTTGTGGCAATAATATTTTAACTAGGATCCTAACTATTTAGTTGTCACACTTTTATGAGCTTGGGAAAGAAAGATTTGATAAGACATGATACAAGAGAAGACTAACTTACAAATTAATGAAAGCGCAGGATTAACAATGAGACATTCTACTGTGGTGGTATGAGGGATGTAAGGTGATATGCCAGGGGGATTATGCTAATCTTTACTCGCACACTGTGCTTGTAAATAATTTTTCCAGTTTGCACGTATTTATTTTTAGGGGGTATGTAAATTGATGACACTGAGTGTTTATTTTTTTAGGTGGCTTATCAAATTTGTAGTATTGAATGCAACTCTTTAAACTTGAGTTAACACTCAATATATATTCGCCTTTTATCTGGTTTACTACAGGGCTATGGACCCAAAATAAACATTCTGCTGTGGTTAAATTGCAATAAATGGATCAAAATGATGCTGAAATAACTACATAATGTTGCTGATTTGTTTAGCATTTAAATTCATGCTTTCTTCATCATTCACTCACACATTATCTTAATAAATAAGATATTTCTTATCCATTAATTATCTTTAAAGTTTTACTTTTGTTTTAAACTTTTCTTCGCCTTTATTGCTCATGTTTTGAGAATCTTATTTCAAAGTATTTTTGTATTCACTGTCTCACCTTTTAACACTGTGGGACCAGCAAGTTACTTTCCAAAGGTATCAAACAAGTAGGCCTAACATAACCGATCCAGTAGAAAGAGCTGACATCAGACATTCAACTCTGATTCACGGGCTGAAGAGCCATTGCCTGCTAACGAAACTGTTAAGAGACAGTTTGAAAAGACTTTTTCAGCCGTTTCCAATGAGGGACCCTTGGAACAATCCACAGTCGGACTGGCTCCCTAACCACCAGTGTCTTCTGGTGAAAGCCCTCCTGTGTAGCGTATTGGAGTCACGACAGCTTCAGGCCCTTGAACAGACCGCTGAGAGAAACTGCAAAACAGTAAGGCAAAGCACTCATCTGTGGTCAGATAGGTTCGTGTCCTAATTTGCTTTAAACCAAGTACAATAATTCAAATCTCCTGTATATATTAGATATACAGTACTTCTTGCATCCACCTGTTTCCATCGGAAATCCACTCTTTTCACTTTAGCCACATAACCGTCATGTCAGCCCTGTTGTTAACCTCTGTTAACCATTCGTTGTATTTATTGTTGTTCATATAGCCCTTATTTTATTTATTCACTTGCATTCACCATAGGCTGGAAATAAATATATATTCACCTTCATGCTCTGGTTGTTGTGTGGACTACTTTACAGAGTTTGAATCCCTGATTTGAGAACTTCCACCTTATTTATGAGATTGATTAATAAAGTGAAAAACAAATTGATAGTTTAATATTTCCCAAAGTTTCTCATTTTCTTTTCCCAAACTCAGTGTTGCCCCCTTTTTGAACGACACCTTCTGATATTAATATTCCAAGTATTAATATTAATTACTTTAGAAAGTTCACTACACTGTTGTAATGACAGTTGTTGTGGTCTGTGCTGTAACTACTGCATGCCTGTGTTTTTTAAACCCAAGAACACCCTAAGACAGATATTGCTCCAACTGAAGGACCGCACACCCAAACACAAGAAAAGCAATCTCGTGTATGCTGTCCTATGCAGTGAGTAATGCACCGACCTGCATATTGGGAGAAATAAACAACCTCTACACAACACACGAAGGATAAAGGAGCCAGGAGCACCAACGAACCAAGCGGTAGCCATCACCATCACCGACCCGACAGAGGTTAAATAGCTTGGGGTCCCCACCGGTCAGTCAGAACTGAAGAAACTTCTTCCAGTATGTTCAACCAAATCCAGTTGCCCTTGATTTAACCTTCCTTGGATTTTCATCTTGTTCCTGCTGCATCCAAGTGGCTTTAAAGCTTTAAAGATAAATAAATTAACTGCTTCCTTTGATGCCACCTTTGGAATCAAACAAAAAAGTATACCTATTGCAGATAAATTCCATGCAATTCAATCTAGCAAGATTGCCAAAACTAAATTAAATTTTATACAATTCATTAATCACTATAACAAAAATAATAACAATATATATATAAAATAAAGTAAATAAAACAGTAAAGTGGGAGTGTGTGTTAAAAAAAAATGTAATATTAAAAATGAAAATAAATCAATAAAACAATAAACATGTGTGTGTGTGAGTGTGTGTATATTAATAGGCAAAAATTTTTTTTTAAATCTATCAAATGTGAAATAAAAAAAGAACAAATAAAGGAACAATTACTAAAACAAAATAAGAGACAGTGAAAATAATAATAATTTAAAACTTTTCAGAACAGTTATTTAATATATTTATGAGTCCATTCTGAGTTTCCACTGGTTGTTCATGGCATGAGGAGACATATTTTGCTGCAATTATTTGGCATTGTGGCATTTCTCCCAGTAAATAGGGGAGTTTCTGTGTGTCTGATATAAATTCGAATTCGGGGTATATTCGGGAAATAATTGCATGTGTTTTTCTCTTAATGTTTTATATTTAGAGCATGAGTTTAGAAAGTACAGCTCTGTCTCTACCGGATCAGATCTCTAGAGCTGCCATTTACACACATTGTTCTTTCTCTGTCTCCTTCAGGAGGAGTCTATCCTTTCCACTCTGGTGCGTTTTGGGATTAGAAGTGGAAAAACTGGTCACCTGGCCATGGAAGTGGATGGTTTGACCTTTCACCCCACACACTCTGATATCATCACCAGACTACTGGAAGTCACACTGGGCTCCGCCACTCCAAACCCTTGATCGACTGCTCCTGTCTAGAGGGATAGTTCAAGTCAATTGCCCATCTGTGAGATAGAGTATTAATATAACCTTGATGCTAACCGGTGTGGCGACTGAGGCCAAATAGCTGTGAATGCTCATTAAGCTTAGAGCCCTGAGAATGTAGCACCAGACAGGGAAACACACTGAAGCATGCACAGGCACACATACACAGACTCACAATCAATCAATGTTCCACTGGGTGCAATTGTGTTACCTCTCTACTCAGACTGCCGAAAGGAAGTGAGAGAGAGAAAAAAAGAATGACAAGAGAGCTGTATGTGTGTGTGTGTGTGTGTGTGTGTTTGTGTGAGAGAGAGGGAGTGAGATTTTAGATGCCTTGGTTACCTTTCAGCCCTCTTCCTTGACTACCAGTGACAAAGTGAAGTAGACTCAAGTAAAACCAGCTCTCTTTTTTCCCTCTCCCTCTCTCTGTCCGCCTCGCTAATGAATAAATCAGAGTTCTGGTATGACTTTGATGCCTTTAAAGAACAGAAATGTTTTAAAATACACTTTAGAATGGCAGAGGTTATTCGTTGTATTGTTGCTGACAGGAACTAGCCGATGATGTGTGACCAAATGGATCTTTCGCACAGATTGGCAATGTTTTATGCCTCTAATGGGCTCAATGACATTAATGGGTCTTAAACATTAACAGTTGCTCGTCAGTCCCCAAGTATCTTAACAGTTCGTGTACCAGGCTGCTTCTTCATTTTGACATTGTCTCGATCAGTTAAGCTTCATGGTTGCCGTGCCAGAGATCCTCTGATCTAATCTCGAGCATTTAATGAAGCACCAAGGCAGTTATGTAGCTAGTGATTTGTGTTTGCCACGACTGTCACTTTGAACGCAGGCATATATGCAGTTTAATTCCCGCGCCTTGGTGCTCAAGAGTTGCAGTCTGTATCTGGATATCATATCTGGAGAAGGAAGAACATATTAATGCAAGTGTAAATGCATTTAGAATGTATTGGGATCAGAATGCCATTAGATTACATTCTGCGGGTGATTTAATATTTAATTATTGGATCGGATGTCATTATCCAGATAATGCATCCAGGTACAGATCGTATGTTAATACCAGTTCTAAATGGGTGCTTTTTGTAAACTGTAAGCAAAGACCAATGACAGCCCAGTCAAAACTGGGAAAACTGACTCAAACTTCACCTAAAATATCCAGCAAAGTCAGTTTTTGCTCAGTTTACATAGTTGGTCTTGAGGTTCAGGAGTTTGTTGATGTATATTATTCTAAACACTGACCATTCATTGGTCTGATTTTAACACCTTTCAGTGCAACTCGGACACATCATCAGCGATGTTACATGGCTTCATCATGTGTTTTGGGTCTTTCAACATCAGATACCATTGCCCAGGTCCAGGAGTGATCAGGCCTCTCAGATGTTATTAATGGTTCTCCTGATGGGTTGGGGTTGAGTCCCCTATAGAGTGACTAGCCTGCGAAGCATTTTCACTCGACCTCGATGGACTCCCACTGGGCCCTCCATCCCCTGGTTTGCAGCCCCTCAGACTTGCCCCTCCATCTGGTCTTCCCAGGGAACAGTGAACTCCAGCAAGACCACTTGTCTTGTTGTTTCCGACACCAGGGCCATGTCTGGCCTAATGCTGTGTTCCATGCGACTCAGAACTCGGAATTATTCCAACTAAGAACTAAAAAGTATATTTGCTTGTATTTTATTAAAATAATACATCCTAAAATATCGTGTAAAACCTGTTCTGAATGTAAATTGATGTAAAAAATATATTGCCAATGTCATTATAGGTACACCAAGAGCGCTGCTGAGGGTTCCATTGTGTGTCCACTTGACAAAGAACCATCAGGGTTTTTTTCACTTTCGGTGTCATGAACCATCATGCACCTGGAACGCTTTCAGGTCGGAAGTCGGAAAATTTCAACTGGGAAATATCCGAGTACCGAGCAGTCTGGAACGCAGCATGGGTGTAGTCCTTAAGATTGTGTCTGGGATGAGCTGTCTCAAGTTCAACCTTTAGCTGCCAGTCCCGTGCTGTAGCCAGGAGCCCCTCCTGGTGGGTTGGGAACAATGGGTGTCTAGTAATGTGTCAGTTCTTAAAAGCAAACTTTTCACCCAAAAGAAGCAACTTCAATATCTGTCAAACATTATGATGATTAGCAAAACGATTTGCTCCGCAACAACACTGAACTGTGTAGTAAAATATTGCAGGAACTGAAGCTTTTATTTAAATGTTGGCAGGAAAATTAGTTTGTGCAGATTATAATGTAATTTAAATAAAATATGATGTGTGCAATCTGAAGTCTGTCTGATGTTATCTTTTGGGGTATTTTTTTTTTTGTTTAGCTATGGTTCCTTCATTCGTGTAAGATGGAAAGGATTTTGCTTTGTCTCATATACGCAGTAGAGCTAGTTTTTTCAACAAGAAAATTATTTAATGTGTAGTTCTTCATATTAATACCATGTCTTAATAGTAACCAGTGTCAACATGTATGCACAACAATATGGAAACTAATATTTTGTCTCTTAGTTTTGTTTAGTCGCACTGACCTTACACCACTTGTTACACTACATATCGAAGTCATAACTTACATGCCTACGCAAGACATTTCCCTTCTTTGTCTTTGCAGTGTAAATACATGAGTAGAAAATTCCAGAATATTCAAGTTACATTTATTATAGTACTTCACAGCCTAAGGTTAACCCAAACATTCAACCGACCTGTCCCGTCCAGTGACTTTCCTGTCAGCATCAACAGGAGGCTCAGTCTGTAACAAACACTGCTGCTCCCCATCTCATAGGGTTGAGGTTAGGGCTCATTCAGGAAGTCCTCTAGAAGAGCATAAACCTTTCCATGTAGACCTCACAACTACTTTTTATTCCAAGTTGTTATTTTACATTATTTTGACATGTCATTCGTAGGAAATAACTAAGGTTTACAAGAGCAGGAAAACCTACGTCTGTGCTGTCAGTACAAGTCACAGTCATGTGATCATATTCTGGGTTAGCGCGAGAACTACAATGAGTTATTTTATGTCCACCGTGCCTGAAAGGGGAAATGGATTTAATGACCGTCTTGGCTGCATTCACTGTTTCATTTCGAAGTAATGTTAATCTCAAGAAAATTGTAGTCTGTGGCAGTTGAGGTCGGGTTCAGGGTATGAGAAAAACACACAGGGTGATGGGATGGATGAAACAGAAAGCCATCCAATTTGAATACATGAAGGCATACAGCTTACTGTTAGGACATCTGATGGTGTCTGCTTGTGTTGAATATATTGGTTTCATTTTTGCTGTAATCTACTTTTGCTGCCTACCATTGACCTAAGGCTATCTGAATGTATTATCCTATATTTTATCCTAAACTTATTTTATTTTTTATTTGTAAAAATTGCTTAAGATGAAGTTTAGATTAAGATCAAGCACCTGAACCTGAACAAACTTATGTGCTAACCACATTGTTGGAAAGTGATATATCTGAGCTTTTCATGTTTGACTTATTTGATCCTGTAAAGTTTCATTTTATATTAAAACCTCTAAAGAGTTTACATGATCAAAAACACCACAACTCCTTGCTCAGCTAACTACCCACTAGCTAACACTCAAATGCAGTTTATATATTGAGCGTTTTCTCGTTGCCCCAAATCACATTTGATTGGATGCATTCACGTAACCACCCCTGACTTCTAGATGAAAAGAGGATAGACATTCCGTATTCCATACATTTGCATCCATTGTGTAACACTTTACACAGGGACACAACATTAGAACTTTTCTTGTCTTTTTCATTTCAACAAGCCAAACACGTTATTTTTTCATTCAGTGTTACTTGTGTGTATCCTTAAGGTCTAAGAAACAAACTGAAAGCATTTTCTTCCTTATGAAACATTGGCAAAGCTGATAGCTTCAATTAATAGCCCAAGCTTTTATCTGCTTTAATCACTGAACTCACCCTGCCTATATTTGGGACAGATGTCTACATGGGACAGGCCTTTAATTCCTTTCCCACAAAGCCCTTTCTCAGAAAAGATGGGAAATACGGTAAGTAATCGAAGAATGGACACACATTTGCACTTGACCACTTCAGAGGTGAGGAGTCACCACTTCTTTTTCTTCTCACCATGCCAGTAAATCTGAATAGATTATACTTTGGTGCTCATGGTTTCCATAAAATGAACGGAATGGTTGAATTGTGGCCAATCTTGGTCAACAGTGTGTATGTAGCATGTCCATCACAAAAGTTTAAACATTTATTGTTGTAACATTTGCTCTAGTTTTCTGACTTTTGTAATTTACCCAAAGCAAAGAAAGCGCCACAGAGAGGGAGGGGCAGGGAATACGCAGATGTAAACAGCTGAGGTTGGTTTCCCAGATGGAGTTTGAAGAGTGCCTGTCATTACATTTTTCTAGTTACTGTATTTCTAGGCTGTGGGTGTACAGCTGCAGTTACAGTAACTAATCAGTCTGGTAGGAAGGCCAGCTGGCCCTGTGTGTATATTTAGTGTTGTGTCAGAGGAGCTGGAGTGAAAACAAACCAGCCAGTGTTAGACCTTTCATTTAACCATTGTCTTTTCATAGTATTCTTACTTGCTCACTGTGGGGGGATTGTACCTGAATACACGGGGGGACAGACAGGCGTCCAGCAAAGATCCCCTGTTCATCACAGCACCATGACAGTTCGGCCAGTGCTGGTTTGTGCCCTATCAGTATGGTTTCCATTTCACCTTGACCATCGTTCCATTTCATCATGTGCCACCTTCGGTCAACTTAAATCAACTTACATAAGAAATGAATGAAATAGGATATGTGACCACAGAACCTTTGTTTACATGGCTGTATCCTAAAGATATTGTCAAGTTGTGATGTAATATGAAATCTAGCATGCTGGCAAAGGCATATGCTTTTCATGGATAATAAAGTGTTTTTAAGTTTTATTCTTGTCATCTTCTGTACATTTTTACATCCACTTAGATTAGAACGGCGGATCTCTGGCATGAATTTTATTTCCTCAAAGCTTGTGAAAAGGTTACAGACAGAAACCTTATTAAGATTTAATAAAGCCTGCACAGACCTGACAATATAAACCGATGCAGTTTCCAGGTACATTACAAACTTCAACGTGCAAACTTAAAAAATAAACTCTATTTCTAAGCACTTTGTTAATGTTTTAAAATAAGACTCTGTACAAAACACCACATTAATCCTCTTACAAATAAGAAATAAATTTATAAACAATTGAATTATTGTGGAATTTAATACACTCAGGGGTTTTGCTGCTACAACCTTAATCTTATCTGAGTGAAAATTTAGTGTGGCTAATGTTAGCTCATTTTAGCCAACTTTAGGTATTCAAAGAAGGTTAAAGTCAAGGGCAACTGGACTTGGTTGAAGATACTGGAGGATGTTTCGTCCCTCATCCAAAGGACTTCTTCAGTTCTGAAATGACTAGTCTATTTAGCCTCAGTGGGGTCGCTGGCCAAGATCGTTGATACCGCTGGTTTGTTAGTGCTCCTGGCTGTGTAACGACAGTCGTCATGGTCATTAGAACAACCTGAGGCCAGCTCTGAACTACCATTGTTGGTATCTTCACCTGAGGCCAAGTGGAAATGCTTGTTGAGTTTCCTGGGAAGTGATGAAAGGACAGCATTGTAAGTGGGGGATAAGTGGTGGGGTAGACCCCCTCCCCTGTTCAATGATGGCTTCTCAACCCTGGTGTAGATGCTTCCTTGACACCTCTTTCAAACCATCCATCTTCTCTGTCTAAAATGTGCACCTGGTGGTCCTCAAACGAGTGTCCTCTGTCCTTCAGATGTAAGTAGACAGCAGAGTCTTGACCTGAGGAGTTGGCCCTTCTGTGTTGAGCCATGCGTTTGTGTAGTGGTTGTTTAGTCTCCCCAATATACAGGTCTGTGCATTCCTCACTGCATTGGACCGCATACACTAGATTGCTTTTCTTGTGTTTGGGTGTGCGGTCTTTGGGGTGGACCAGCATCTGTCTTAGTGTGTTCTTGGGTTTAAAAAACACAGGGTTGTGGTGTTTGTTGAAAATCCTCATATCTGTACCAGTGGCTCAGTGCTGTTCCTCTGAAGGAGCTGAGGGCTTTATTCTCCACTTCTTCCATGTAGATGTTTGCCACAATCGGGGATACCGGTGAGCCCATGGCACAGCCATGCTTCTGTCTGTAGAATCCTCCGTTGTACTGGAAGTAGGAGGCTGACTAATTTACAGATCTGGTCAGGGCTGAGGCTGGTTCTGTTGTCCAGGGTGTTGTCTCGTAGAAGCCGTTTCCTTACGGTTTCTAATGCCTCTATAGTGGGGATGCAGGTGAACAAGGAAGTCACACCACAGGACACCAATGGTTTCATCCGGGAACAGTTTCAGTCATTGAACCTTGAACAAATTCAGTTGAGTTTTTACATCTCTTGGATGAGGGACAAAACGTCCTCTAGTACTTTCAACCAAGTCCAGTTGCTCTTGACTTTAACATCCTTTGGATAGCTATCACTTTCACAGACATCTAGCCAACTTTATATAAATATTGCTCTGTAACTGACATTGAGTGAGTTTAATGGCTTAATGACTCCCCTCTACTCGTGCTACTGTTACACTCCGTTTTAGCATGAATTGTTGGGTTAAATTTATAAACTCTAGGGTTTTCATAAAGGACAGATGAACAGGCATGCCATGTTTGCATCAGTTTTCCCAGTTGCCTAATAATGACCTCTCAAAGCAACTAACTGAAGTAAGGGTAAGACCTTGTTCATCTTCTTGATCACCATCTTGAGGAAAGAAGGGCGGTGGTGGAAGTACATTTACTCAAGTACTGTACTTAGGTACAAATTTGAGGTACTTGTACTTTACTTGAGTATTTCCATTGTATGCTACTTTATACTCCTACACACTACATCTCAGAGGCATTTGTCTGACAGCTTTAATTACTAGTTACTTTTTACAATCTTTCACACCTTTCCTCTCCAGTGAAAACCATGTATCTACAAATGTGGTGATTCTGAAATTGAATTTTTCTAATAAACTGAAGGATGAATTGTTCACTTGAGAAAAGCATCCTACTACTTGATCTAAATAAACTATTAAAATCAACCTTAGATCAGCTGGAAACAGGGCTGTGTTTCTGAGCTCATGAAAAGGTGACTTTTTAGAGATACATGGTTCTCACAGGACTGCAGTGGTACAAATATATGATGACCTTATAGATTGTGATGCATTGCCTTAGATTAAACTAACTAGGTTAAACCTAATTAAAATGAGCACAAACGTATACAGCAGTAAAATGCAACATG